TTACTGGTGATAAATGGACCAGTTCCAGGCCGAACCAGTTGAGAAATATTCTTTGGGCGTGGCGGGTAGCGAACCCGGATCTTTAACACCGCTATAGGAGCCGCAATTATTTTACAAATGTTCTATAAATTTTATTTTATTTATTTTTTGTGAAGAGAAAGTTACTCGATAAATTCAATTAATTAGGAGAAATGTTTTGTATATTTTTTAGTGTTTTGACAAGTAATTTTGAAGTTTACTACTTGGTCCTGACGAATTCACCAAACAATTGTAAATACATTAAAGATATCACGTGACGTCATGCATGCAACAGTTGCACTATGCGGATCCATCCATGTTTAAATTCTGTTATACATGACGCTCTTATGCTCAATGATAAGCAGGTGTACCCCCCAGAAATTTTGAATTTTCGAGGGGGCAAATTTCGTTGGGGTTATGAATTTTCGAACTAAGGGACAAGAGAAAACAGACCGCAGCAAGTTTAATTGTATATGATCTACGTTTTTTTCTAATTTTACCTCTGGCTTTCTTTATTTTTAAGAAAAGGTGACTAATAAAATATCTTTAAGGAGAGAGGGGGAGTAGATTCTAGCGCTATCAATCTTTGGGGGGATGGGCACCTCTGATGATAAGTGCATAGCTCATTGTAAATGCATCTGATTAATTAAAAGTAAAAAAAAAATAAATGAACTGAAATATATAAACTAACGACTAAATTACCTCCGCGAACAAAACGTCACTATTTCCACTTAAAACCCGTAAGCCCCTGGTCACTGCCTTAATATTTCCTTACTTAGACTATTGCTGTAAGGTCTATGGGAGCGTCTTCGGAGATCTTGAGGCGAAACTAAAACGTTGGACTTATTGCTTTGTACGATTCATCTTCGGGATCCCAAGATCGCCTCTGTTTTCGTGTGTAGGTTCGGGCTTATCCTTCCGATTTCAAGTCATCCAATCCCACCGACCTTCATACATCTCTGAGCTCCTCCAATTCAAATGCTCTGTTCGCTCCCGCAATACTCGTTCCAGGTCTCCTGATTTATACATAACAGCCCATCGAACCGCTGCTTTCGACAGATCGTTCATTATCCGGTCCTCATCCCTTCCCACATCCGTCAATCCAATACCCTTCCTACCTTTAAATCTCGCCTGTTCAATCATTTCTTATCCATCCAGTCCCCATAAAATTGTAAATAGATACCACTGTAAATATGTATATAAATTATTAAACTGATTAAAGTTAGAAAGTAAATTGTAATTTTTTATTATGACTATTTAATTACTCAGCATTTTTGTTTATGTATATCTGAGGCTCCTTAGCCCACATTTCTGTATTATTCTAAAGGGACTCGTCCCACAATAAATAAACTATTATTCTTATTATATAGTAGAAACGCACATGTATGTTAAAATCATTAGCAGCTTCACGCTTATGACTGACAACAAAAAACTAACCAATAGAAATACACTCGTGTTTCCCATGGTTTGGACAATGTGTAAACGCAGTTTAATAAGACCATATCCCAAGGCAAAGGATTATTTAGTGTATAGTATTCACAATATAATACAACAGTATTTTCATAAGTAGCCTTCAACAATTTATTGCTATCATCATGCTAAATAAAATTGACTTACCTAAATAAGAGAAAAATAAAGTTATCAAGTACTGGAAAACAATGAAGTATCTTACCTGAAAAAAAAGAAAAAAGATATGAGTAATTGGAAAACATATAGAAATAGTATTTATTGAATATTTAATAGTTTACCGTTGCATTATAAAAGAAGGATTATGGTTCGGGTAACTAAAAGCCAAAGTTTCGACCCGACTTCGCAGGTCTTCTTCAGGGAGATGTGTTCATCTAGGAGTTTCAGTATGAACTGAACTTTGGCTTTTAATAAAATAGTTTTGCCACTATTTAGTCTATTTATGACCGCCACCCCGGACCATCTCCTTCCTTTAAATAATATTTATATTCATTAAGACAATAGCGTTTCCGCAAAATCTCTACTGGCTTTTAATAGAACTAACGCGGTTTAGTCTGGTACTCGTGAGGCTCCTGTTTTTCTCTCCAGGAGCGACTAGCCTGGTTTAGAGTTCTCCTGGCTGATTGTAAATAGTGTATAAACTGTAACGTGTGTGTAAACATTATGTTGTTATATGAATATATAATACATGAATCGCTCTATAAATAAAAATTTGGATATCAAAAACCAAAATGTTTGATACTAAAATGACTATACCCATATAGGTTTATGGAAATATTCCTATGTATTCAGATAAGAAGTTTATGGTAGTGATATAAAAATAAACAGAAAAACCGAAAGTTATTTGCCAAACAAATATATTTACTGAGTTCTTCCTCCCCATATTGTTGTTATTGAATACTCTTACAGAAAGCGGATTAGCACCAGAGCACTACCTGAATACAAAGAAGCACGACTTAATTACAAATTGTTTTCCTCGATCTAGATCCGGCTTGTTGGACAACGAACGCCCGCGGCTGCCAGGTCACGCGCGGTGATCCGCTGCCTCGAGTTACATGGGTTAGGGCAACCGGTACAAAACGCAGGCAGTACCAAACGGGTACGCAACCGCCGGTGTTGAAATCGCACCGAGGAAACCGATTTCTTTTGCTATACCAACGTACGTGTATCATATATGGCAAATATAACGGAATAACAACAGAGCGTAAGATTGGAAGCAGTGAAAATTCAGAACTGCAAGTTAAATTGGCTTGACTTGACTTGAAGCGAGATGTATGTCCCAAAAATTTATTGAATATAGAATAGAAAAGAAAATTGAACTTTATTCTGGGACTAAGTCCTCTTAGAATCACAATGATGAATTAACACAAAATAAAATACAAATCTGGCCAAAAACTAACTTATAAAAATTCTAACATTATATACATTATTTAAGAAGTGGATTCTATGACGTTGAACTGTCTTCGCGGCGACGATATTGCTCATTTAGTTATAACCGGAGGACACGTGTACAATGTACGGACGCGAGCAAAGTTAGCCCAATTTTTATTTAAGTTTTTTAGTTTATCTGTTAATAGGATTTTAAAATCATTTTACAAGGGAGAGAACAAGAGTTGGCAAAAGCGACAGGCAGCGGGGACAAATTGGGAATGTTTAACAGAGGAGACGATGAAACAAACCAAACATCGGTGGCAAATTTCCGCATGGCAACAGGGCACGATTACCTGCAAAGGCATTTATATAGGATTGGAGTGGAGGAAAGTCCTGTGTGCCCTCTCTGCCAACAGAACGAGATGTACGACCTGCACCTCCCAGTTTGCCCCGCTCTGTCAGATGTCCGCAGTACTTCTGATGCGATCGGAACAAATTTAAACAAAGGATTCATGGCGGAGTTGTATTGGGCTGCCAGGAGCCGAATGGCCTAATAGCAAACGGCAGAGGCGTTTAATAAAAAAAAATTAAAAAATAATTTAAAAAGTAATATGTTACCACTAAAAAATAAACAATATATATATATATATATATATATATAAATGAACATAAAATGTAATAATATCTACCGTGATTTATATAATAATATGCAAACACTAAGATAAAATAAAATCTCAGGATTACTTGTGGTGTAATGGAAAAAAAAAGGAACTATGTATACGTACATACTCATATTGGTATACAGAGAGACAAAAAGTATAAAATATAATCATATATACCCGAAAGAAAAAGCAAAACCTGAGTCGAAAAGAAATACAAATAAATAGTAAAAATAATAGTAAAAGATCATTGCTGTTTCATGTTAAAACTTAAACTGTAGGCACCACCATTTACTTCTCACAAATTCAGTTCATAAAATGAAATTTATGGTTGCGAATCGTCTGTTTGGGATGTAAGGAGAAATTGGAAAAGGAGATATTTGAAGGTTGACAGTGAAGAGGCATGACGGATGTTATGTGGCAAAGAATTCCAATAGGTGACGGAGCGGGCTAAGAAGGAACGTTCAAAGGTTTTTGTCTTGTGTGATGGAATATAGAGGTCAGAATCACGGGATCTCGTTTTTATTGAGTGGACTAAAGTTTTCGGCTTGAGGAGACAGTAGATATAGGAAGGGTGCTGGGAGTTGATCGTTTGATATAAGAGATTTCCAAGGAAGTATAGGCGGCGGGAAGAGGGGAAGAGCCACTTTGACTCGGCAAATAGGTGGGACACATGAGACCATCTCGAAGTGCCGAAGACGAATCTTAAAAAACAGTTCATGATTCTCTTCAGTCTGTCCTCAAGCTCCAACGAGAGGTCACCGTATACCACACAACTATGGCTGTAGGTAGGGGTAAATCAATATATATATAAATATATATATACACATATATATATCAATATATTTAGTGACATGGAAGTAACTTTCATTTTATTTGCACTCGAGTGCTCGAAACACGCCCTATCAATAAAAACTTTATAATGACTTTTATCAACCAACCCAATGGAAGCCATATTTTATCAAAAGCCTGACTCATGTCTAGGGACAATGCAATTTTTATTCCAACGAGAAAGATGTGTACCAGATGTGTGTACCAGACTGTAGCATTGCTGAATAGTGGAATGACAGTTTTTGAATCCGTACTGGAAATTTGGAATGACATTAAATAAACTTTCATTTTATTCACACTCGAGTGCTTGAAACACGCCCTCCTGATGATGATCCACATGTTTGGGTTGAAACTTCGACATAAAAAAAAACTTCATAATGACTGCGTAATGAACATTTATCAAAAATGATAGTAAAATTAATTAATATGTCGTTGAAATGAACATTTTTAATTTACTTAACAAACAGTTGTGCCATATTTTATCGAAAGCTTGATTCATGTATAGGGACAATGCGATTTTGATTCCAACGAGAAAGATAGTTAATCAATTTTTATTTTTGTTGCCTAACAAGGCCACCATAGCTGTACTGCGCATGCAAAAACAGCCAAGAGCTGCTTGTTGAAACAGACCCATAGTTATCTAATTTGAGATTTCTAACTAGGATGTATTGTATTGATTATGTCAGCTTATTGAAATATATCTTTGAAATCCTGAGTTTCCCCATTCTACTTTTACTTATTATCACAAAATAGTGAGCTCACAAATAATTTTTTATTTAACAATCACAAATGTTCTTCCGGAAGAAGGAACTCGGCCACTAGCTTGACCTGCTTGTGGATCAACTTCCAGTCGTAGTTGATGATCTCCTCCGTGCAGGGGCCCTTCTTGCTGACCTGGGCCTTCAGGAACTCCTTGAAGGGCAGCACTCGATGGCAGAGGATCAGCTGGACAAGGGCCAAGGCGGTGGCTGCCTGGAGGCTGTCCACGCTTCTCCGGCCGACGAGTCTCTTCCAGTAGTTCCAGCAGGCTTTCAATCCGACACTCAACGAGTCCAACTTGTACAGGATCGTCTGTTCCCTGATGAGGACCATTTCTAGTGCGCAAGACTTTTGTATATGGATATATTTCTAATCGAATTTGAAATAATTTCAAAAAGGTTATTTATAAATAGAAGATTTAGTTTGCACCATATAACATATGTTTTAACTAGGGAAAATCAGTAACCATTAATTTTTTGTTTATTATTTTCAAGTATGTACCTTTGTAATCGGCCAAGAAAAAAAAAGTTTACCTTTGAGTTAAAAAAAAAAAAAAGAAAAAGAAATCCGTCTGTCCGACATTTCTCTGAGACTGCTAGATCGATTGTTTTGAAATTTAGTATCAAAGTCAGAGGGCAACCATAGATGATCCTCGTTGCCCGACATTATCATCCAACTTTTCGTTTCGAAATGGTGATAGAAAAATTTTAATTTTTTTTTCCTGTAAGCATTACGGACCTTGCAGATATTTTGTCGCCTTGACAAGCCTACTCCTTGCACTAGCGGTCCAGGATGTAATTTTTGGGAGGGGGGAGGCTTCAGCCCGTAAGATTTTTTTTTCTTCAAAAATTTTCATTAAAATAATTTGAAAAAAAAAAAGTAATCTCCCTGACTGAAATTTCTCTGAGACTGCTAGATCGATTGTTTTGAAATTTGGTATCAAAGTCAGAGGCAACCCATGAATGATCCTCGTTGCCCGACATTATCATCCAACTTTTCGTTTCGAAATGGAGATAGAAAAATTTTAATTTTTTTTTTCCTGTAAGCATTACAGATCTTGCAGATATTTTGCCGCCTTAACAAGCCTACTCCTTGCACTAGCGGATCCAGGATTTTAATTTTTTGGGGGAGGAAGGCTTCAGCCGGAAAGATTTTTTTTTTTTCATAAATCTTCATAAAAATAATTTGAAAAAAAACAGAAAGAAATTAACTACCTATATGAAATGGTGTTCAAGTGGTTCCTAAAGTCCTACTAAATGTAATTAAACGAACAAGAATACTTTAAGAGATAGTTTTTAATATCTTTTTCTGTAAAATATGGTTACATTTTACCATATGGGGGGAGGGGGCCTATCTCAGGCTGTTTCTTCCTATATATCTGCACGCAGCTCTATTCCATCTTTGTTGATTCTACCTATCCATCTGCTTCTTAGACTTCTGCCTTCGATTGAGGCATTTATTGTTATGTAAAAGGTTTCAGATGAATTGTCCGAGCTACATGCCCCATCCATCACAACATTGTACACCATTAATTTTAAATTTCTTAAGATTTTTCGGGATTTCAATACTTTTGAGAGGGCGAAGAAAGTTCTGTTTGCGCTAGTTATACGCTGGTATATTTCAGTCAGTTGGTCATCATTCATTGAGCTAATTGTGGAGCCGAAGTATTCGAATTTTTCTATTCTCGGGAACAATTTCTCTTTTAAGCATATCCTGTCATTGGGAGGAGGGTTCCAGCTTATCATATATTTTGTTTTATTTGCATTTACTTGTAGGCCGATCTGCTCTGCTCCTTATCAGAGTCTTAGTGAATTTCTTAATGTCTTCTTATGGTATGCAAATCCAAGGATTTTATAATTCATTCCAAAGCGGAACCTTCCATTTTTATGTGATGTTCTCATTACCTTCTCCAGCGCTTTAGATTCACCTATTAAATTAGTTATAAATTGTTAACCTACACTTAAGAAGACGTCGAACGATAGCAAAGTAGCAACTTATTCCTCGGAAATGTACTATTGTTATAAAAAAATAAATAAAATAAAAAAAAACCTCAATCCAACCAACCATCTACTTTTCTGACTATCTTCCCGATCTTCATTTAAAAGTTTAAGATAATAAAACCATAGAGCTTTCTTTGCTATTCCAAAAACTTTACAAATATCTTAGATTACATTATTTAATTGCATGGTATGTGATTATACCCAAAATTCTTCAATCTTTCGTGAATAAAATTTTCTAATTTTACGAAATCTTTATGGCGTTTTTCTTGTTTCGAATTAAGCGGCTATTTTTTCACAACCACATAATTAAGAACCGATTTATTTTTTTAATATGATAAAAATCAATGAAAAAATATATTTATGTTGTATTAAAAAAAATACAATTGAACAACAGAAGAAGGAAGATAAGCTTAACCGCATGTACTCAGTGAAGGGTGCACAGGGAAAATCAATTCTGAGGGGTCACAGCTGCATAATTCATTAACCCAGGAATCACGTATCATCCTACTACTATCTTCGTTTATATTGTATAATAAAAAGTAATGATTGATATATAATTTAAGTAAATATTGATAATTTAAAAAAGTATATAATAATAAGATATATAATTATATATATTACAACTAAAGGTATTAATACACAAGGGCAGCTTTCGGGGGAGGAGGGGTAAGGGAGAGACGATAGCCCCCAATAAAAATGTTGAGGGATTAAGAATGGCCAAATAATTTAAAATAAAAAAAAAAAAAGTAAGCTACATGAATGAATAAAATATGTAAACTAAAATCGATTATAAAAAGTCGACTAGCTGGCTAGACTAAGGCTAAATTAAGTAGGTACGTAATTTTATCACGAACTAAATGCCATTATTATTTGGATTTTTATTTATATTAAAAAATAATAATAATAATATATATATACTATATAAAATATTGTTATTATTTTATTTTTTATGATTTGGAAAATATTTCGTATTAATTTTTTTTTTTTTTGGTTTATTGATAAATATTACAATCTGTCTCAATAAAGGACATTTATAATAGAGTTCTGAGAGCACATTCACACCATATAAAAAATAAAAAAAATAAGCTAACTTCAAATAATATAAAGCTACAAAAGAACAAAATAAAATATCATAGTGAGAAAAAAAAAAAAAAAAAGTAATGAAAATAAACATCTTAGACGCAGGCATACCAATTACACTATTTACAGTCGGCCATAGGAACTCCGAACCATATTTATCCCCCCACACGTGCAGGAAAAGCAAGGTTTTAGGAGATCCCTGCGCTTCTTCCTCAACCATTTCACTGGCATTGAAAGCCAGCGGAGATTGAGTAAGGGCGCTACAACCACGGACACTCATGGCTTGAGTGGAGAATCTGCCAGAACTCCAGTATATGCATGTTACAAAAGGTCACGGGGCCACTGCCGTTTCAGTCTGCGAGGAGGATTGTAGGGATGAGTGGTGCTAGATAGGGATTGTGCTACGGGATTAGGGTGATGGGTAAGGTTCTGATGAAATTTGGAGAATTTGTCTGGGATAAGATCAAGAATAAATGGAATATTAAGGTCATTGTGCAGGGTTTTATTAGAGACATAGAAGGGAGCATCGACTATTGTACGGAGGACTTTGGACTGGAAGGATTGAATGCGTTTGATGTTAGAAAATTTTGTTGTCCCCCACAGTTCTACTCCGTAGGTCCACATGGGTTTTAATATTGTCTTGTAGATCAGTAGTTTGTTTTCAATAGAAAGTTTAGATTTTCTATTCAGTAGTCTATATAGCTGGCCATATCGTCGGTTAAGTTCCTGTCTTTTCAGTCTAGTATGCGGATTCCACGTTAGTCGTCTGTCTAGGAGAAAACCAAGGTACCGGACTGTGTCGGAGAATGGAAGCTGGATGGTATTAAAGTAAACTGGTGGACAGGAATTACGACGAAGGGTGAAGGTTATATGTTTACATTTGGATTCATTGACTTTCGTATTAATCAATTTAATGTTCCTTTCTTATTTTATTTATTTGTGAATTTTTATTTTATTTTTCTTGAGCACCGATATCGCGATATTGTGATCCTATTGCTCAAGCTCATCTGTTCTTATTAATATATATTTAAGCTTCGTATATCTGTTATATTACTTATGTTTCAGTTATTCTGTAATAGTTCTTTTGGAAAGATTTTTTGTATGAACAATGTCCTTATTATTAAGGGTTGTCCCAAAAAAAGTTGATATTTCTGTAAAAAAATATATTGTAGGATTTTATGATTTATTCATTCGTTATCTGCAACACTCCATTTTCACGTGATATTCTCATCCCACTTTTCACGGCTAAGTTAAAAATTTATTTAAAAAGTATTATTGAACATTATATATATATATTCTTTCTTATAAAGACTATTTGTAAAGATTTGGTAATGTTTTACTTTATTTGTTTAAGAACATGACTTCTTGTAGAAATAATTAAAAAAATATGTGTTCATGTGAGTCGTTTTCCGCACATCATGATAAAACTTGCATTTTAAACAAATAATTACTGTTATTATAGTAAATATAGGCTATCTGATATTAGATACATAATTTTAATTAAGTTATGAATTTATTATTAATATATATATATATATATATATATATATATATATATATATATATACATATACCAAATAATATAAAATAAACACAACAAATAACACAAACATTAACCGAATCATTACCTTAATGACAAGGACACTGAGAATAACCATTCAATTGGTTAGGGGTAATATAATTTCGGGAGTTGAGTAAATATTGGCTACGGATAACAAAAATAAAAATATAAGGTTCTCTTTCGAGATACTGTCTATATGAGGTGTTCTTAACTAGGTGATCGATATATTGTTCCAGCTAACTCTCTCTATACATTTGACGATGGGCACTGGAGTAGAAGATGGTGTAGACTATTAAATATATATCTTTTACAGGCATTGCAAATTTCTTCCTCTTGTATAATTTAAATTTTATTTTGCAGATATACATTTATAGCGTGTGGATTCGAGGTTCTTAAATGGCTGAACTCGCGTTTTGTGTATACAAGTATTAAACATTAAATACTCTTCAGGAGTAAAATCTAGACGGCTGAGAGTTCTGTAGATTGGGTTATTATTTGGATTTAGAGCTTTATTAATGTCTTGAGACAGAAGACGATTTTCCATTTTTTCTATAATGGTCTTTTTCTAGTTCCCGTTTTGTAGATCCCATTTAGTTTATTGAGACTATTAGTAATGAATATTATATAGAATGTCTTAAATAGACATTTTCACAAAACAAGTCAAATTTTTAAAACATTGTATTTTCATTTCAAGGTTGTACCATCTAAGAAATCAAATTTATTCAAAGTTTTAATACCTACCAATTATTAAAATGTCGTCAAGGGAACTTAAATATCGAAATTGTTATTAAGTTTCCCTTTAAGTTTCCTTTGGTTTGAT